TAAAGTTATTAATTTTAGCCTAACCTACAAATAGCACAATTACATTTTAAATTATCTTATATTGGATTTGATGCGTCGAAGTGAAAGACCCTCTTGACGAGACATTATTGCATGTAGTCCAGAAGTCAAGTGTTACTGAAGCCATTGGAATTGGCTAGTGCTAAAAGATGATCTTCTGTATAGAGCCTTTGAGAACGATGACAGTACAGAATCTGAGCTTTAGATGATTATACCTAAAAGTAAAGTATTAGTTGCATGACGGTGCATCAGGTCAACACTTTGGTGTTACAAAGACTCCGCAAATGCTTCGAAAACGGTTCTATTTGGTGAATTGTAAAGATGATAGTATCGAAAACGTGAACTGTGTGAAAAATTGGGCATCCAAGAAACAGTAAAATGTTGGTAGTGCTATAGGTTGGTAGGAATATGTTATACCAAAACAAGAAGCTGCTATTGTTTCAGAGGTACTTTTTAAAGAATTCTTTAACCGATTTGGTTTTCTCTTAGGGATCCACTCCGACCAAGAACGAAAGTAAACCCTTTTCCAAAACGTTTATAAATTGATTGGTATCAATAAGACCTGAACGACACCCCTGCATCCTCAATCAGATGAAATGGTCGAGAGGATAAACCGAACGATGAGTAAACACCCGTCCAAAGTTGTATCAAAACATCAAAGAGATTGGGACCAGAACATTTATTTATTCCTAATGGCCTACCGGTTGGCCGTAAATGAAACTACAGGCCAGACTTCAACCTTCATCACATTGAAGTAATTTAATCTAATTTTAATATTTAATTGGCCATCCCTTGTTTTGATTAACTAGTTCACATCTTTTGGGCATGGAGTTTATTAATTTTTGCAGCTCTGGAAAATACAGTCATGCCAAGCGTGGATTAGAGATTAGAGATTAGAGATTAGAGATTCGATTAATTTCGTTTTATTTGTGGATTTGCTTTTGAAAATGATGTTTGATATGCTGTGCCACAAATTCTCGATGGGATTGAGGCCCGGGGATTACGCTGGCCAGTCCATCCTATCAGTTTCATTACTCTCCATCCAAGTTTTAACGAATTTTGCTCTATGACAAGGAGCATTATCATCCTGAAAAATACATTTTTCTTCGCCGAACAGGTCTCTTCCACTACGCAGCATCTTATTCTGTAGTACCTCAATGTATTTCGTAGCATTCATCATCCCGGAGACAACGTGGAGGCGACCAACTCCTCGAGCGGACATGCAACCCCATATCATAACGGAGGTTGGATATTTAATTGTGGGAAGAACACATTTTGTAGAAAATTTTTCACCAGGAAATCTTCTAACGTAGGCATTTCCAGTATGATTATTAATATTGAAAGTGGATTCATCACTAAACAGTACACTCTGTCACTGCTCTGCTGACCAGATTCAATGTTCCATAGTCCATTTCAAACAGAAACCAGAGACAGAATCTGTCTCCGGCTTCCGTACACAATGTAGCCTATTTTTAATAATTTTAATGTTCTTGTCCTTGTGTAGTGTAGTGTGATGTACCATTTTATGTTTATAACATTTTATTATTGTCGAATAGGCCACAATTGACGAAATGCTTCTGAATATGCTCTAGGGAACGAAAGTACTTGGGCAATATTAAATAAATTAAAGTGTGCTCGATAATTGCCTTTTACTTGATCAAAGTTCATTTATTCGAGCATTCAACCTTATACCAATTAAAATGAATTAGCGAAAATATACAAAAAACTTGTCTTAAACCTCACAAAACTATAAAGCCCTTGGGTGATGCAGGACTTTTTAACACCACTGTAAAAAAAAAGTGAGTTTCCAACTGGTCTCCGTGCGTAGAGGTTTTCTCCCCGGCTCTGGAACTCAATTTTTACAATGTATGTTACCTGAAGTCATATTTAATTTAATACTGAACATCACAGTTTTTAAACAAGATGTATAATCTTTTATAACTATATGTAATTTAAAGGGTTTTTACCCATGTATTTTGGTGGCTCAGTCATTTTAACCTAGCGATTTTAAAACCTGATGATGGACTGTTTAGTCCGAAAACGTTTGTTTTTTTGATGTAGCCCTTTTACGGGTTTTTAAATAAATATACCCACTTACGAAGACTAACCTCTTTTTTTGTGATACGTGGTATACAGCCAGCTACAGGAATTGTTTTCCTTGTGGATTTTGTTTTTTAATAACTTCTTCCGCGTAGACATTGAACAAGGTTGGAGCCAACACACAGCCCTGCCGAACACCTCTTTTGATCTGTATTCTATCTGATATCGAGCTGTTAATTCGTACTGTAGCTTCTTGTTTGTAGTATAGATTCCTTATCACTCGCATGTCCCTTGTATCAATATTTTTATTTTTCAGTATTTGCATCAGTGGCCTATGTTTTACTGTATCAAATGCTTTGCTATTTTCTAGGAGACACACAAATATGTCCTGATTTACGTCTAAGCATCGTTGTGTTGAAACATTAAAAGCAAACGGTGCCCCTCTAGTTCCTAGTCCATCTCTAAAGCCAAATTGAGAGGGTCCGATGTCAACTTCCAATTTTTTATGTATTCTCCGATGAATGATTTTTAAGAAGACCTTTAATATATGACACATGAGACTGATGGTGCGATGTTACGAGCATTGTCTCGCATTAGACTTTTTGGGTATGGCTATTATTGTTGTTACTAGCCATTCATTAGGTATGATACCAGATTTGTAAATGCTGTTAAATAGTTCCACGATCTTTATTAAGTTGTTGCCTTTGATGAGTTTAATTATGTCTATTGGTAGTTCATCTGGGCCTGTAGCCTTCCCCGACCTCATTTCTTTAATCGTGTATTCCACTTCATCTCTTGTTATTTCTGGTCCTGTGTCACTGTTTATGTATTCGTTATCTACATTGTCTCTTTGATCTTTAAACAGTTGTTCTATGTACTGTTTCTAGACTCTTAATTTTTCTTCTGTGTCCATAATAATGTTTCCACTCTCGTCTACTAATATGTTGTGTCTGTTACTTTGTCTCCTCGTCAACTCTTTGATCTTCCGATGTGCATTAAAGCTGTCGTGTTTATTTTGTAGTTGTTCGATTTCTTCGCATTTTTCCCCGTACCAGTTTTCTTTAGCTGTGCATTATTTTTAGACGAATTCCTTTTTGTATCTCTTTATACTTCTGGTTCTTTTTGTTTTTCTGTTTTCTTCTTTCATCCATTAAGTTCAGTATCTCATCTGTCATCCATCCTTTTTTATATTCTTTACTTTTATAGAGGTGACTTATGATTGGTTTCATTACTTTTAAATGCCACAAAAAAATAGTTTCAGAATAATGAAAAGACTTTTAGTTATTACTTACATCTAATATCATTTACTATAAATATATAAAAAGGAAAATTTAACAAATTATCGGCGACTTGACTAATTAAGTTACTTTTGTAAAATTAGTTTTTAATGTTTCATAATAAATTAGCTACATAGGAGTTTATATTATTTAATTTGTTTATTTTAAGATTCGAGTCTGTAGACACAGCATCTTCCAGCCTCCTACCAACAGTAGTATTGGGGAAGAAACCGATCAACCTGCCAAAAGAGCTCACACTACGATCGGGATATATAAAGGAAATATTGTCGCTATTAAACATTTGCACAAAAGATCGGTTGACTTGACACGATCCATAAGAAAGGAACTAAAACAGGTAAACTTGATATTTTAGTATATTTTTATAATTTTTCTGTTTAAGAGTGACATTATCACCCAAAAGTGACAGTAACTGTTCCTTAGGCTAAAAATATTACTTTTTAGAGTAATTTAAACATTTTTTCTAGGATCATAAATATAATACAATAACACTATTTTTAAATCAATAACTTTACTGGAGTTTCAGGTGTATTAATTTGTAATACATACAACTATACGTTAAAAAATTAGTTTAATCTGTTTAGTAACTATCTTCAAAACTGCATGACAAGATAAACAAACCAACGGTAAAAAACTTTTACTTTATACAAAGCCATTCAGCAATCGACAATGTAGGTATACAAACGTCGTTAAAAAGATCGTAAAAAAGATCGTAATATATGGTCCTTGGATAAGGCTTAAAGAAAAAAAGGCGGAAGTGGTCCAAGGAACCAGTTTGATCCAATTATCTACTTCTAGACTGAAACATTTTACTTTGTCTCTCATGGTTGAGTGCGCGTTTCTCACGTATCGCTCCTTAAATACAAAAGTCACACATTCCAAAAAATATCAAAATTAATTTTTTTGCATAAAATGCATCTTAACCGATGAAACTTTAATATTTCGCTCAACCAGCCGTCGTTTTATGATCAAAAGCACCCGTAAACCCACATACGTTAGTTTTCTTTTGTACCGTTTCTGTAACTGAGTTCCGTGCAAAACTACCACATTGACATCCTCAGTTGCCATCAGACATTCGGCACGAGTGCACGCATTTTTTATGAAAAACTAACACATTCCAAAAAACTGCTAAAAGACATGTGAAATTATATATTCAAAAGTGCCACATTAAAAAATACATTCGTATTGCAGATCACATACACGTAAGTATCTTATCATTTTTATTTGCAATAGTATAATATTTCAAAATAGGTTAGTTTTTCGTTTATAAATTTGATATTCTCTCTTATTTTTGTATGCAATACTACCATATTTTGAATTATGTTAGTTTTGCAAAAAATAATTCTAATTATTTTCTTATTTCTTTATTCTAAAGTTACATATTTCGAAATATGGTATCTTTGTATTTAAAAGTGATCTCTAAATAGATTTTATTTTATATATAAAAAAGCAATTTTTAGTTTTACTGTTGTTTTATCGGAAAATTTTTGTAGTTTTTGGAGTAATCTTATGGGTTAAACAAAATAATTTAGAAATCTTAAAACCAATTAAATTTTACTTACCCATATAGATACATTATAACGTCTATTTACGAGAAAGTAAATTGTTTGATACAGGTAGGTACTTATAATTAATTTTTATTTTTAGAATGGCAAGAAGAGCGCAACGTATTTTGGACATGATACCACCAATAAATGACCCTCGAGATGAACAGCAATCTTCTTCAACAATACAACCTAGTAAACTGGATTCAATTGACATTCAGACTGACAATATTATTTATCGGGAATATGATGCTAATGACATTAGCTCTCTACCGGACAGTCAGTTATCTTTAGATATTCTGAACTCCGTTGAAAATAACGAAGATATTCAAGCAACGTCTCCAAATCACAGAATATTCAATAAACCACTTTAGTCATTAAAGAAACAGACTCAGACAGTGATTCTTCCTCTGGTGAATCTTCTAGCTCTTCGAGCAGTTCCAGTTCTAGTTTTTCAAGTAGCTCCAGTTCTACAAATAACCTAAAAGATTTCTCATCCGATGATAGTGTCAAAGATCCTACGTATGAAGATCCATTTTCTGAAAACCGCAAAGCCCAGTCAGATTCCGATGAAGAACAACAACTACAAGCACAGTTACCTGGCATTCAAGACTTTCCGCAATCAGCCGTGGATAACCAGAAGTTACTTAATATTAATTCACCATCACCAGGAGTTGACGATCAGCCACCTAGCGTTGACGAGCACCTATCTAGCATCGGTGAGCAGTCTCCTAGTGTTGATGATGAATCGCGCAGTGGGTGTCGTAAAAGAAAAGCATAACCGCTTTTATGGAAACGAAACCAAAGCAAGCTATTGAAAAACAAAGGTATGTCCTATACTTCTATGTCCAAGTCTAAGAAAATTTATAATGCCAAAAAAATGGGTCCTGTATGTTTCGATAAATGTAAATTAAAATGTTCTACAGAGTTTACGTTTGAAGAAAGAAAACACATCTTTGAAAGGTTCTGGGAGTGCGGTGATCTGGAAATCTAACGACAGTTTATTCACGATCACATGACCAAGGTAGAACCAAAATATAGGTACGTTCGTGAAGGTAGCAGTCGCAAAAATTACAATCACTCAGTTTATCTGACTCGGAATAATAAAAAAACTCGGGTATGTAAAGTATTCTTCATGAATACCCTTGCAATCTCAGACACTATGATCAGAACCGTTGTCAAAAAACAGTCCGAAACTGGTGTGCACCTTAAAGATAACAGGGGAAAACATAACAACCATAAGACACTAGACTCAGAGCTGACCGATGGTGTCAACGCACACATCAATTCAATACTCCGCATAGAAAGTCATTACTGTAGGTCGCGATCGACTCGGGAGTATATTGAGGGCGGGTTAACAGTCGCGGCACTACATCGATATTACGTAGACAAATGTGAATCTGAAGGTAGACCACACGTTTCATATCAAGTATACTACAACATATTTATACATGATTTTAACTTATCTTTCTGGCAGCCCAAGAAGGATTAATGCGAAGATTGCATGGCTTACCAAAACGCTGAAGATAAATCGTTAATACAAGAAACTTACGACGAGCACCTGAAGCAAAAGACTCCCGCTAGAGCTGAAAAAGATAGAGATAAAGAGCTTGTGAGTAATACCTTCGTAGTGGCTGTGTAAGACCTCCAAGCGGTGATGCCTTGTCCACGGGGTGATGTGTCGAGCTTCTATTATACGTCTAAATTAAATCTACTTAATTTTACAGTAACCGATCTCGGTACAAAGGACACAACTTGTTTTGTATGGCACGAGGAAGAAGGAGCCCGAGGTTTTAATGAAATTGGCTACTGTATCTTAGAAAATTGAATGACAATGTCACGGAACCTTGTGATCTCACTTTATGTAGCGATAATTGCTGTGGCCAATAAAAGAACAAATTTATGCTGGCAATGTACCAATACGCAACTCAAGAATTGTCAAACATCAAGAGTATTACTCATAAGTTCCTAATAAAAGGGCACACCCAAAACGAAGGAGACTCTGTTCATTCTGTCATCCAACGTAACATTATGAGAGTATTGAAATCATCTCCAATTTACGTTCCAGACCAGTATATCTCTCTGATTAAAACAGCAAAGAAAACTGGAAAGCCTCATACTGTTGAAGAACTGACACATGAGAATTTTTTTTTACCTCAAACCTCTGTGTACAGGAAACTACAATATAGATGATGATGGCAATAAATTCAAATGGACCGATATGAAGATTCTGAAAGCGGATAAAGTAAGCAATGGCATATTTTTCTTTAAAAGTTCCTACGAAGAGGAAGAGTTCAGGTCGGTATTTACGTTGAGAACACGCCGCACGAAGTCAACGGCAGTGCCTGATAATAATTTTACTCTAAACCAACTTTACACTGAAAAGCTTACAGTTCCTGAAGCAAAGAAGCAAGGCATTCTAAAGCTTATCCAAAAAAACGTAGTGTCAAGATTTTATGAATATTTTTATGATAATCTCTAAATTAGTGCACAAGTTACTGTTGTTAACTGATTTTTAACATATTCGTTAAGTTTTTTTTTATCCTTTACGAGCATTACGCTCAATGTAGTTTTAAGAAAACGTTTTATAAAAATATATTTGTAAAAACCACGTTTATGTGCTTCACACGGTTGCGATTAGTGTAGATCATGGAAATGATTATTTTTACGGTGTCTTTCTCCTTAGTGCCTTATTATATAAGACTATAACTGCTAATAATACTATTTTAAGATAAAGTTACCTCTGTTTCTCTTAAAGGTTTTTGCTTAAAAGGTTAAGTTTTGTTTTTAACGTAAATTTATTCTTATCTACTACTATAGGTAATATTAAAGACTTAATTGATGATCTCATGATAAAATTAACAATTATTTGTTTTCCCTTAGCAACCGAAATTAAAACTCAAATTTTCCTAATTATGGTGGTTTAATTTTTAAAATTTTAATGTTCTCGACGACAAAGTCCATATACAAAACTAACTTATTTGCATTTTTTCGACAGTCCATTCGAGCTATGGTTAAGATTGCTTTAATGATGTAGGCTATTTAATTACGCATCTTTTGATACCAAAAAATCTACCTAATACACATAGTTTATACAAAAATCATAAAGTAGTCCAAATTATTTTTGTAAATGCCTCTCCTATAGAATTTGCTTATTTTGACTTGTGGTGCTTTTATATTTAAGGAGCGGTATGTCGACTTGCGTTAGTGGTAACATTCGTAAACATAATCTTGTCAATATATTCAAATATTTTGTACTAAATTGAAATTTATAACATTAAAAGCAAAATGTGAAGAGGCAATAATTCTTCTTTTTATGTGGACATGACTGTCTGTTTTTTAAAGGACTTCCAATAAGTCGTTTCATCGTTTTACGTGGTCTTCCCACTGATCGTCTTCCTATTGGCGAACCGTCTCTACAAGTCTTTACTATCCTATTTGTTATCATTCAGCTTATATGATCGTTTCGTTCTACTCTTATCTTTCTTATCCAGTCCTTAATCCTCTCCACTTGTACGACTCTCCGTCATACATCTGTACTTCTAGCTCTGTTTCATAGTGTCTTACGATAGATTTTCTTATGTCCATTTCTGGAATTCTTTTTGTTTTCTTTGAGTCGGATCGTGTTTTTGTCGCTTATTTTACTATTGGTCTGATAAATGTTTTGTTAATTCTGCCCTTCATTTCTTTTCCGATATTTTTATTTCTCCACATTTCTCAAAAGAGCCCCACGGTGTCTTCCCCAAAGAGCTTCTGTTGGCCCTATTAGTTTATTATTAGTTTATTTTTTATATAAAAAATTTGTGAGACAAATTTAATTTAAAAAAAAGATGTAAATGAAAAGCTATTACAGAATTTTTTTAACAAAAGCTGTAACCGAATTTACATGATTTTATTTTAAAAATATGTGAATAACTAACATTTCTACGTGGACTGTACGTACATGCGTTTCTGGTATCTTGCTCACTTTTAACATTATCGCCGTTCTTTGCTTGCGCGTCTAATCTACTCCATACTAGTGACATACCTAATCTAAAAAGTACTTGAAAATAACCTTTAAGGATGATACAGTTTCTCAGGAAATGGGTAATAATAAAAAAAGGGCTGCCTAAAAGTACAATCTTTAGTAAAGCAGATTGATTTTTCTTTTTCTGGATGTGCCTATTTGTAACAGTTGTTAACAATCATCATGGCAATTTTTATCTTGTCTTTAGCAGCGCGGAAAAGCTGCAGATATTGTTTATTGAAACAGGCACAGTCTTTTTTCTTCCTGGACCTTGCTTTCCAAATATTTTTTCTTAAAGAAGCGCATATATGGATTCATTTCGCATAATGTATTCGAATTATTGCAGGACCTTTTCATTTATGACTTTATCATTAACGGGATTTTCAATAGTCTCCGATAGTCTCCGATCATTCTTCTGAGGAACTCCTCATTTGTGACTCGGTCAGTCCACGGGTTCTTCCAAATGATTCCAGTTTTATATCTTCGTTCAAGGTCCACGATTCAACACCATAAAAAAGGACAGGGAAGACGTAGCATCGCAGCATTTTTACTTTTATATCTAGAGAGAGGTTTTGACTCGAAGAAGACCCCCATCCGATTGAAGGTGGATTTAGCTTTTGCGATGCGTGCCCTAATCTCCTGGTTGTTAGTACATACGTCATTTATTATAGTGTCGAGGTAGTTGTAGTGTGTCACTCTTTCTACAGGAAACTGGTTAACGTAGAGTTGACCTTCTGTTATCCTTTTCTTGCTAATTCTTGCTGTTCCTCCTACGGTTGAACCTTAATGTAGATTTTTCAATGCGCTTTGTGGTCTTTTGGTTATTGATCTATTCTTCACTTATTATTGTACCGAAGTATTTATATTGCGCATCTCTTTCTACTGGGGTTAACGTAGAGTTGACCGTCTGTTATCTTTTTCTTGCCAGTTATCATGGGCTTTGCCCTCTATAACTTTGTATTAAGTCCATAGTGTTGACTGTAATACGTGATTTTGTTCGTGATACATTCGCTGTACCCATTGTTCGCTGGTACCCATTTCGTAAAATTCCTTTTCCAGTTTTGTGCAAAGCTAAGCTAAATATTCTTTTAGGGTAGATTTTAAAGATTAGAAGAAACAAAATACAGCCTTGTCTTATTCCATGCATGATTTTTATATATTATGTGTTCATCTTTATTTCTGATATTTGCAGTATTGTAATATATAAAAAGACACATTCCAAAGATATTAAGTTTTCTTAAGAACTCGAAAGAATACTTACTTTCTTGTAAAAAAATACTTATAAATTACGTAAATTGTTTTGAATTAGAAATTTAGGGCACATATTTTTAATCATCGTTAACATGCTTGTCTAGTTTCAAAATACTTTTGTTACACCTTAAGCTTAACCATGAAAATTCAGCATTTTTATGAAACATTATTTGACCTAGTAAACGGGTCGATTTGTTATATACTGATATGTTATAAAATGATGAAGAGACCAGCAATTGAGGGCAATTAATAATCGTAATTCATTAGTTGTCGGTATTCGTAATTTATAATGTAAATACGTAATTATATAATCAATTAATTAATTTTTTGGCAAAAAAATTGATAAGTGAAGGATAGAACTCAAATTGGTTATATTAATAATCCAAAGAATTCACAGCATAAATGAAATCAACAGTTCTAACAAAATGGGATACCAAACTTTGAGTATTTATGCTATGCGCATGATGCAGAAATAATGACAGAAAATAAAGATGATCTCCAGAGTCTTCTTTACAGATCCAACA